GGATGGCATGGGATGGGATGGGATGGCATGGGATGGCATGGGATGGCATGGGATGGCATGGGATGGGATGGGATGGCATGGGATGGCATGGGATGGCATGGGATGGCATGGGATGGGATGGGATGGCATGGGATGGGATGGGATGGGATGGCATGGAATGGGATGGGATGGGATGGGATGGAATGGGATGGAATGGGATGGGATGGAATGGGATGGGATGGGATGGCATGGAATGGGATGGCATGGGATGGGATGGCATGGCATGGGATGGGATGGGATAGGATGGGATGGGATGGGATGGGATGGGATAGGATGGCATGGGATGGGATGAGATGGCATGGGATGGCATGGGATGGGATGGGATGGGATGAGATGCGGTGTGATGGGATGGCATGGGATGGGATGGGATGGGATGGGATGGGATGGCATGGGATGGGATGGGATGGGATGGGATGGGATGGGATGGGATGGGATGGCATGGGATGGCATGGGATGGCATGGGATGGGATGGGATGGGATGGGATGGGATGGGATGGCATGGCATGGCATGGCATGGCATGGGGTGGCATGGGATGTCATGGGATGGCATGGAATGGGATGGATCGATGCATGCATGGATAGATAGATAGTTAAATTTTTTGGGTATTTTCCTTTCAACCAAGCGGTCACCAACTGAGTAACGCCACTGATTTCCCTGGGCAATGCCGGGTATCCCGCTAGTTCCTTTAATAAAACTAGTAAGTTAGTAAACTAAATAAGTGACTTGACATGGAATTTTTCCTACTAGCGAGTACATCACAGTACTGGCTCACAACGTACCAGTGCTTGGATCGATGTTGGCCAGGAGTTCTAAAGGCTGTCGAAGGTGAGAGAGGTTGTGTGGATCGCCGGTGCGCTGTAGTGCTATCACTAGTTCTTGTATGCTCTGTGTGAACGACTGAGGGGTTTGGAGCTGAAATCACGCGAGAGAAGTGGAAGTGATATCTGAATCACCGCACGCACGTCGAGGCGTCAGTGATAACATGAACGTTTTGTCACTGCTCATTGAATCGAGCACATATAAGTGAGTCGCAGTATGCCACGAATTCACATCGGCAAACTGTCTTATCCACCTGGTGTTTCTAGCCAGTCTATGTCATGATAGGGTGTTCTAAAAACAACGACGTGCCACTACCTCGATATTTTCGCATATGCCACATAAAAACCGAGGTAGCACGAACAAATCTGGAAGCAAAGCTATGTGGAACTTTCTTTCACATTATAACCTTGTCAATGACAGACTGCATGTATGATTTATAGATAACTCACACATAGGTCAATTCTAGAAATCAGAAGCCCAGCTCTAGGAAACTTTTTTTCTTTTTTTCTGGTTATAACCTTGTCAATGATGGACTGCATGTGTGATTTATGGACCCCCTCACACTTTTAACGATCAACGATCGGAAGCTGAGGTCTAGGGAACTTTTTTTCTAGGGAGCATTTTTCAGTTTATAACCTTATCAATGATGGACTGCATGTGTGATATCTAGATCCCTCAAACTTAGATCAATTCTAGAAATCAGTAGCCTTGCTCTAGGAAACTTTTTAATTTTTTTCCAGTTTTAACCTAACCTTATCAATGATGGACTGCATGTGTGATATATACTATATATACTATATATTACTTTTAATGATCAATGATCGGAAGCTGAGCTCATTTTTCCGGTTATAACCTTGTCAATGATGGCCTGCATGTGTGATTTATAGACCCCTCACACTTCTAACGATCAACGATCAGAAGCCGAGCTCTAGGGAACTTTTTTTTTACGGAGCATTTTTCGGTTTATAACCTTGTCAATGATGGACTGCATGTGTGATATATAGATCCCTCAAACTTATGTCAATTCTAGCAATCAGGAGCTCAGCTCTAGGGAACTTTTTTTTCTTTTTTCAGGTTATAACCTTATCAATGATGGACTGCATGTGCGACTTGTGGATCGTGTCGCCGTAGAGCAGCGACGACCACTGGTCGGGGGCGATGCGGAGGCCAGCCTCGGTCGCGATCTGTACGATCTGCGCGTCGTGCTCCCTGCGCAGGGCCTCGTACGTGCGAAACTCATCCTTCAGCTGCATCAGCGACGAGTCTCCGTCCCGCTTGGCGACCTGTGTGTGGAAACGACGAAAGCGTTAATGTTACGTAGTGTTGTCAATCGGTTGTAATTTCGTAATCGATCATCGGTTGGACCCAAGTAACCGATGATCGGTTACAATCGGTTACTCGGGGTGTTGAATGCCTGCGTGTGCGTAACGTCGTGTGCATGTACGTGTGGGCATGTATGTGCTTGTTTAGCCCTGTTTACTGTTTGTTTTGCACTGTTTACTACTGTGTGTATAATACATGTATGTTAATAAAGGATAACTTGTATAGTAGCGATGATATCTCTGATTCTCATCACTTTTCCAAGTTTTCTTGTTCAAGTTTTAAAAAAAACGATTTTTTTTTTTTTCGATGAAATCGATTATGGATTTTGATAACCAAGCGCTTGGTTCGAGCCACTGTTCAACCGATGATCGAGTATAATCGATGATCGTGACATCACTAATGTTACGTGTGTTATGTGTGCAAAACGTTGAGTGTTATTATGCACACTACATGAGTACACCTGCGTATAATCTATATATGTGTTATCCACACTACACAAGTAAACCTATGTAAAGCGTTAGGGGGCGGTTGCGCGGTCACTACCACTACACGGGTTTTGTGGCTACTACTGCTACATTTGTATCTCCGTTTAAGGAGTAGGCACGCTACATGGGTAAATATGGCTGGCATATTTCATCAGGAGGGGAAGCTTGTAGAAGAAGAGACAGACGACAAGTAGAGCAGATATGTATGCGATGAAGACGCCTACCTTAAAACAGGATGCGCGATACAGAAGCTGGACGACGTGCCCGATGCTGGTCTTTGAAGCCTGTGGAAAGTGCGGCTCAAGTCTTTGCACAACAAAGAGTACGAGCACTTTTCTGGACAGGGCCGAACCGTCCTCTAGCGCCAGCAAGATCAACTTCAGCACTTCTTCCTGCATGGCTGAGAGAGGGAGACGCCCCAAGATAAGCTGGCTGCGTAGCACCGTGCGTGCGTACACGACACGCGACATTCACATGCAACAGCTGCACGCAACAAACAGCACATAACATGTAACGATACATCGCTGCATCTCGTGAGTGCGACGACTGACAATAGAATATCCGTTAAAAAAATGACGAACGCGAATGGAAAACTGTTACAATGGCAGGGCTTACATAGGTACTGCTGTAACACGGCAGACGAGCATTGTGAGAATGCTAGTGTTGGTGGTAACGCAGGGTTCTCATGAGGCCTTTAACGCATGCCGGGTCCAACGTGCTTTCAAAGCTAAAGCTAACTCGCAACGCTATTACATTCCACACATCGCTTGCCTAATTGACATCCCTTAATTTCCAGCTGCGTTTACTGTTGACAGTTCCAACGCAGTCACGCTGCGTGTTCACAGGTTGATGTACACATCTCTGCACCGATAGAGTACATCTGTGCATTCAAGGGTTGCTCACGACACGCGTAACTGGGCAGAGATCGCTGCAACCCTCTCCCAGACCCTCCTCCGCCCGTCCGACACACAACCAACACGTCATCTCTCGTCTGTCCAATGGAAAACGAGCACGCAACTCGGAAAACGCGGACTCACCCGCGTGGCAAGCGATCATACGCACCGGGTCCGAGGAACTGGCATCCGCGTGAGCGGACGGCAGCCCACAGGTTCGCTGACAGCTGCTGCGGATTCTGGTGCTGCAGGATGAGCTCGGTGGCACTTCGCTCAGCCAGCGAGCGAATCGAGCGCATCGTCCTGCCCCGGCCGTCCGACTCGATCATCTGAAAGTGAGCGGAGAGACACACGGGAGATAACGCAAACGCTGTTTCAGATGCGTCGCGCGCTCTCTAGAAGTTCGTGCAGACGTTTACGTTGTTTCGTTTTGCGTTTTAAATGTATCGCACGTGTTCTAGAGGTTCGTACGCACACTTAAGGCCAAGACACACTGCAGCGACAGCGACCGACCGTAACGACAAACGACAAAGTCGCGGCGACTGGCGCAGCCACACTGCAGCGACAACGACCGAACGTAACGACAAAGTTCACCCAGCACTCACCACAGTGCCACTCATGAGCAAACGGCAAAAAACTCCTGCTGCTGCTTTTAAATAAATTGCTGTAAAAACGCTCTATGTATAACGAGAATATAATAAAGTAATATATACGCAGCATATTATACGAACGTAAACAATAATCATGTCTGATGGCTGACCGTAGCCTTGCACGTTTTGGTTAGATGGGTTCGCACGTTTACTGTTATCACTGTTTCGGACAGGCGGTGCGAGTTTAGCGTTGGGGACCAGTCTACTTCCTGGCTAGCATTGGTTTATAATTTTATGACGTAATGGCGATGTCACGTGCCGATGGAAACTGCTGTGATTGGCCATTTGTAAAGTGTCGCCGGCGAAAGTCGCTGGGAAATAGAAACGTTTCTAAATATTTTTGTCGTCGAGGTTGTCGCCGGTCGTCGTCGTGTCAGTGTGCAATGGCTCATAGGAAACAATAGTTTCTAATTTTCTGAAAAGTCGTTTGTCGTTACGGTCGGTCGTTGTCGCTGCAGTGTGGCTTGGCCTTTACACTGTTTCGTTTCACGTTATAAATGCATCACACATGTTCTAGACTCTAGAGCAGGGGTTCTTAACCTCTGTAGTCCATAGACCCCTTCGGGGTCCGTGGATGGGCTTCAGGAGGGCCGTTAACCAGTCGCATAATATTTTTGCGTTTATGTGCTAATGACGTAAGTTATGTGCATTTTTTCTGGGGAGGGGTCCGTAGCTTTCACCAGATTCTCAAAGGGGTCCATGGCTCAGAAAAGGTTAAGAACCACTGTTCTAAAAGATCATGGGCTTATTTACGTCATTTTGTTTCGAGTTATAGATGCATCGCACGTTCTAAAGGTTTGTGCTCTCATTTACAAGCACCGTCATTACGGAACATACCTGACAGTTAATTAGCGTCACTAACTTGCGCTGCATTGGCCTACTCAGCTGAATAGCCCCAGCTGCAAAGAAGCCAGAACTCAAATCATATTTCATTCCAACACCGATTAGGCAACAAAACATGACATATTTTCAGTTCTAAAGAATACGAATTATTATTATTATTATTGTTATTATCGTTATATTTAATTTTAAGCTGGAATAGGGCAAGGAAAACATTCCAACAAAATACCTCTACATGCTATATTTATGAAAGGCGCAGGCATAGTTGCCTTTGTTTTTGTTTCAATCAAAACACACGCACGCACACACGCACGCACAGATATATATGCATGAACCACCTACCAACATTAACTCTCCCAACAAACAAACAAAATTACAGAAATAAACATGTATATGACTTATTATGCACACACACGCATACACGCTACACACGCACACACACACGCACACACTGACACGCACGCACGCATGCACACACTCGACTGTGATCAGAATAAAAGTGCAAATTATCATCACACACGTACTGGGCTGTAAGTAGAGTGCTATCTGTTCAATGAGGCGCCTCGCTGTCTTATACAGCTGCAGGTCCTGCCCGGTGAGCGGGATTTTCTCATTGGCTGGCGGAGACGCCCCCACCAGCTGTAGCAATGCAGAGTTAACAGGCAGCTCCTCGATCTCTCTGCTGATCTGCGTTTGGTCGTACGGACACTGCAGGCATTGAAGCTTGAGCAAGCAAGCTTTGCATACTGTATGTCCACAACTGAAAAGCGACGAGAAATCATTATTCGAGCATCCTGTACAGTGACGGCTACACATAACAATTTTAGCATTATTAAATCGTTATTGCAATGTACTTCAAATACAAATGTACGATGTGCCGAAGACAGTCTTTTTGCTCAGTGGGCAGAAAGAGGGTCAGTCAATTGCTAGTGGGAACCTCCACCACCTAGTGTCTGTCATAGGCAAGTGTTCATTCTATACAGATGGTTTCACTGTGTAACTGCCACTCAGGGGAAGAAATCTCAAGGTCCTTCCTAGACAGGTGTCTATTCTATATAGGTGGTATCAGTGAAAGATGCCTGAAGTATCCGCTATAGCTGTAGACACCATTCGCTGTAAGGATGACATTAATTATCACAGTGTATATTCACTAACAACCAAACGTCCATAAAGCCGAGTGTATGTTAAGCTGTGGACACACTAGCCAATTTTTCATGTGATTGAGCCGCCCGGCTGAATGACGATGATAGTCACATGATTGAAAATGGCACCGTTTGATTGGCTGATTAATTGTACATATGGGCGCACGTAGTAGAGCATTGTATAGTCACATTGTATAGTATTGCATTGTTTGAGCGCGCATTGTATATATATAGTCGTGCGACTCAAATAATGATCAAACATGTTTGATTCGGGCGACTCAGCCGGCCGACTCGAAAATCGACCGCGATTCACTGGACACACTAGGCGATTTCAGCCGGCCGGCTTGATCGCATAAAGAATCGCCTAGTGTGTCCACCCCTTTACTAACACCATCACAAAGTCATTTGAAATCTTCCTGTGTCTACTTTCGATCCTCTACAACTTTTACGAACGCATGAAACTACATCATGAACTTGTTGCCGTGCCTGTAAATTCCAACCTTAGTTAGAAAGCCAATGTTCAGCGGGTTCAGGTAAAGTTGATCCCATTGGTGCCACTATTGCACATGAACAGAATCGTACCCTTCTCCTTAAGTTAAGGGCAAATACTCAAGTTGCCCTATGATGCCATGACATAAATCTACTTGCAACTCGACTCTATAAATACGTCATTTCGGATTTCCTGGCTACGATATGAGATAAAAAATCACCTGAATCTGTATATACCAGCGATAATGGGAAAAGATAAAGGTAAATCAACTAGTATGCAAAAAGTACTCAAAGCAAACACCTGTATAATTAGTTAATGACACCATCCTACGTGACACAGTGTACGTGAACCCAGCATCATTGAACGCATTCCGATGGATTTGCAAAAGCATGTTCATTTATGACACTTTGAAAATCGTCTGCGTCCAAATCCTACTACATTCTAAATTGACATGATATCACATCAACACACAAACACACACTACTGTAATCACTTCTCTGCTGAAGTGAGAAAGAGAATGTTCCATCAGTGTCAGAGTGCGTCAGAGGAAGCTAGTCACAACACATAAACACTATTATGCCAACCTTACAGACTAGAAACCCTACAAGTCACGCGTTGAGTTGGATATCGAACCAATATAATGAAAGTGTCAATGACACTGTAGCTCACCACAAAAAAGGACACAAATGAGTGAGTGAGAAGAAGTCAGTTTTAATTGAGCAACCATTGACATACATTATAGAAACAAAGAGTATATATGGGAGAACTCCCATTATATACTCTTGAAAATTATATGTGTAATTTTTTATGTGAAAATAATCAATTATATTATATATAAATTATAAATAATTTATAAACCAAAATGAATCACAATGTGACGGTAGATGGCGCTATACCCGCTTTGATGTTTCTTAGCATAAATCATTATATCATAATAATAATAATATAATAATAATAGTATAAATCATAATATGTTCATAGCAGGAATTTTGCATTAAAGATATTGTCAATGAAATCTTGTAAAACGAACCAGACGAGTGTGACACCACAGACTGTTTGTTATCTGCGTGTCTATATAATATGCTATATAATTGCCACACCCTACCTAATTTGCATAATTTTTTTTTAAATATCAAAACCCCTAGCCCTTATTCATTCACATACCAAAAATGAGCAAAATCTGTTGAACCTGGACTGACTAATGGCAATTCTCATTTTTGCCAAAAAATTGCCGTGGCTCGAAAGTACGTCGACTGGCGTGCTCCAAAATAGGACGTTTAATAAGGGAGCATAGCAGTAACAACTATACCCAATTTCAAACATGTGGGTCAAACGGTTCCTGAGTTATCGTGGACCGTAGCCAAATGTTGACAGACGGACGGACGTACGACGGACGGCGACCCATGGCAATAGCTCAGCTTGACGATGTCAAGGTGAGCTAAAAATTATGTATTCACGTGGAATGCGTTGTGGGGCTCTATGGGCAATCAATTTACATGATATAACATTCTAAAATGCTTGGCAGCGAATTTTCATGACGTCAGTATTCTGGAAGGCATGCATGATTAACTGGGATCAACTAACATAAATTAACACGTATCAACTGGGATAGCTTCACCAACCTAGCAACAATATCTGGGGGGAGGGTGGTACCTCACTCAGTCTAGATAGGGCTATTAGTTGTGACTGTAACTCAGTTATTCAACCAATTCCTACATAATATATTATTTGGTCAATTAATATTGTTATTCATTCATTGTTTGATGATTAAAAATATGGGTGTGCATGCTCATCACAACTACGTGCAAACCCAAGCAGCTTATCAAATGCCACCATTCCTAACTTGTCAACGTTATGGTGAACCCTACTCAATACACGCACGTGCGCGCGCACACGCACGCACGCACACACACACACTCACACACCACGCACTATATATATACTTATTTACTACATGTAAGCAATATATGTGTGTGCTTACCCAAGACTAATCGGTTGATGAATATTTCCATCATAGTTACTGTTGCATATTGGACAGGACAGAAAGTCTGTCCACTGTGGGGCTTGAAGTGGCATTTTTCTTCTTCACTTATCAATATGATAAAGCCTAGCCAGGTCAGTTTCCCTCATAGAGGCTGAAACAAATTTTTTTTTATCATTTTAGTTATAATAATGCACAGCCTAATTCTTAATTTATAATGCAGGGTTTCTTCTACATAGGAGGCACTGCGGCGCACCGCCGTTGTCAAATTTAACAACGCCGTTGTGAAAATGTTCCTGTATTTACCCACAGTTGTCAAAATAGTGTCAATCCAAAAATAAATAGATCACCACGTGCTTCTGACTATATACATGGAAAATCGTAATGAAATTCACAGCAACGTTTCTTTTTGCGTGCCGGCACACTCCTGTGTCATTCCCGATTGCAGCTTTTTCCTCGATTCCGGGAAAGTCTTGCTGTCGCTCCCTCATACCAGCAGTGCCCACCCCTACATATACAGCAATATAAGCATGCCCACGCGACCGTAACAATCAGTGCATTCGCCCCCCCCCCATACTTCAATCAATGCCACCCCAGCCAGCAAGCACGAGCCACGATGTGCACAGCCATGGACGTGGGTAACAGGGGTGTCGCGGGCTGCTTTTTTTGGTTTTTTTTCTTTTGCGTGAATGCGTGACAATGCGTAGGGCATGCGGAAGTGCGGGAGAATGGGTCCAGATGCGTGAGTCTCCCGCGAAATGCGCAGCGTGAGACTTGGTAGGTCTGCTAACAGAGTAAGATTTAAACTAAAAGGTGAAATTTTATTTTCGGGGTGACTCAAATGCAGTCGAAGACATTCAAATTTTTAAAATTTTGCTGGGAGAGACCCCCCAGAACCCCCTCTACCTCTCTCCCCCTGCGTCTGCCTGCAGAATCCACATTCGTGCCTACTGCACGCCTTTGAATCCATCATGTGCGTTTTTCCCCCAAACTGGCCATTACCGCCGTTGTCTAATTTTCCCTCAGAAGAAACCCTGTAATGCATGCACAGCAAACACAAAAATATTAGAGAAAGTCCTATATAAATATTAATGGATTTCTTAAAATCATATCAAGCTAATTCCATGCAGATTGCTGAAAATTGGCCCCAACAGTTGACAACCGCCAGAAAATTCAAAATGGACGTGGCTGTGCAGAAACGATGAGATTTAAGACATCGAAACGTAAACACTATAGCGTTATAATACTAGTGTGCTTTGTAACTTGGTTAAGTAAGCATAGACGTTAATACCTGAAACATCACGTGGCTTGGTTCAACATGTGCTACTGCAGACAAGTGTGTCTTGTTTGTTCACGTGTACTGGTTCCATCTCTGTGATCTTGAGGATACTGCCATCGAACATACATATTCTGGATGTGCCAATCGTCATATAGGATGTAAAAGACAAGAACATGAACACACACACACACAGATTAGTCTTTTATTAAAGCCAAAATGTACAGACACAATCATACATTAGTAGTGGCTACTGGCTACTCTCCTCTTCAGTCTTGCTTAGATATACCCCCTGACACACATGCATCCATAGTCACAAACATAACCTATATGGGCCTGATGCACATAACCATCACAGAAACATACATTTCTATGTAAATATAGAGTATGTGGCAAGGTTTAAGTAATGGCTCTAGCATTACAGACTAGAGTCCCAATGCGCATAGCATTCGGCTACCTTAGGCTCCTGTGTTGCCTGACATGCTGGCTCTGGTGACATCATGACTGACAGCAGGCGTCCCATGATGCATTCGATCTTGGAGCCGAAGTTAGCCTAATGCTATACACATTGGGAATGCGTACGTCACCGGTCAACAGAAATGGCGCTCGAAATATCGTCGCTCATCACTTCAAAATTTTGTAACAGGTTATATTAGTTTAATACAGAGTATTTTGATACATGGTAAGTCCCAGGATAGCGGAGAAAGGTTCGTGTTTAGAATAAACCCAGTTTGGAAGTTCTAGTCTCGAAAAACCCACCATAAAACCGCCCTGAGTGAATCACTCAGGGGATCCTCCAAAGAAAAGAATAGGCTCGCGTTGTAACCCTACTCTTGTTGGGTTACATTATTGTTTCTATTATTACATGCACTGGTAGATGTGGATAATTGTAATTTTTGGTATCCACATTTTTGTCATGCGTGCACGTTGCCTTGTGTGTTTACACTTTGCATACTGCTAGTGCTACAGCACACGACAACATCGTCATCAGAAGTACATGAATAACAGATCTATAACATGGCATTGTAAGCCTAACACTATTCTACCATGACTTCTTCACGCCTATTCACATTGCCTGCTTTGTGCGCATACGACAACACGTGACTAGAAGACTTGTAACTGTTGAGTAAACAGAGTGTTACATGTACCGTATAGCTAATTAATCTCATTTAAACTAAAGCCGTAAAGGAGTGCGCCGTGACCTGGCAATATTATTTTCGCAGTGGCTACGCGTCCGGAACCAGTCGCCTAGTCTCCAGCCTACGCATCCGGACATCCACTCACACAGTGATCGCGCGACTCGCGAACTCGCATGATTGTGCAATGGGACGCTCTGCTGATTGCCGAAAATATACAATATATGCACTGCTGCCATCTATCCTTTCATCCGTCCTCCCTCGCTCTCGCTCTCTTTCGCACACACACGCACAGCTCTCTCTCTCTCCCTCACACACACACACCTCTACCTCTCTCTCTTTGTCTCACGCACGCACGCACGCACGCACGCACGCACACACACACACACACACACTCGGCAATCAGCAGAGCGTCCCGTTGCGCAATCATGCATGTACGTGTCGCAAGATCACTGTGTGAGATGGATGTCCGGACGCGTAGCCTAGCGGCTCCTCGTCCGAAACCGGTCGCGTAGCCATGTCCTACCCAAACTTGGAATCTGCACAATCTCGAGATTGTGCAGCGATTGTGCTGCCCAAACTGCGGATTCCCTAGTTTGGCTGACCAATCTCAAGATTGGGCAAACTGAAAACAGTCGGTGATTCGGGTTGGGGTTAGGGTTAGGGTTAGGGTTAGGGTCCATATCCACAACTTTTAAGTTAGTCTGAGTGGCTCAACGGTAGAGCTTTCGCTTCGTGTCACAGTGATAGTAAGGGACCGTGTTCGAACTCCATAAGATTATTTTATTTTTTTCCTCTGCTTTCTGTATTTCTTTGTATTTTATTTGTTTCTGCATTTATTTAATATTTGTTCTGTAACTTTACTCTTTAGTTTATGTTTGGAATTAAATATATTTCTTTGTTTTGCATTGAAAATTTTGGCCCAAAGATAGAGAACATGGGTACCAATAAAACCAATGTGCCTAACCCTAACCCTAATTCTAACCCTAACCATAACCCTAACCTATTATATTGATATAATATTATATTTATATTGATGTAAATGACATTGGTTTTATTGGGACCCATGTTAATTCTCTATCCTTGAACCAAAATTTTCCTATTACTATTAGTATTATATTTAATTTTGTCCTGTTATGTTCGGAAACTGACCAATCAGAGAAGAGAGCCGGTTGTTTAGTTTTCAGGACTCCGAAACCGGATCCGGTCGTTTAGACACTGCCTTATTTTTACTGAAACGTGTTTACACTTATGATTTACACTTACATTCCTACAGACAAATACAACTTCTAAGTTTATGAGAGGTTTCTATGTGGATGTAATTCTAGTTAAATGATATAAGTTAACTGTACTTATATAGCTCGCGAATTACGGTAAAGTTATTAAATTCATAAAATATGAAACGCCTACATACGTACGTCAAATCCGGATTAACACAGTAAATTCATTACATGGCAGAGATTGGCAAGTGCTGCCATCTGAGACGAAGTATGCGTTTTAAAAATAAAGAAATCGGTGGGTTTTATTTTTAACCTAACTTTTACTAATTTGACAACATAATAACAAGTAAAATTTATTAGTTAGTGGGTAATCAAAATGTGTAAATTTTGTTTTCGTTTGTCACTATCAACAGAGCCCATGATGATCCATGAGTCATGACCCCGATGACCCCAAGTCCCCATGACGTCTGTCGTGATTATTTGGATGTAGCGCCACCTCGCTGCAAATAAAAGTGAAAGAAAACTTCAAAGGAGGAAAGGTAGTGAAGTACTAATACTAGGTTAAAGAAGCATTTGCATAAGATCAGAGATGTCTTATTAATCTATCTGACTACGGGAAGCATAGATAACAACATCTGTCGCTCAGGATTCCCGTAAAATATTACCTAGTAATAGTATAGTACTTTACTTTAGTAGTACTACTACTAGTAATACAGGCTAGCCTACAGCCTACACACACACTACACAGGCTACAGTACAGGATTACAGCCGGGAGATTGTCATCTCGGCCAGTGTATTAAAATGGGACACCTGAAGCTAGTCACAGTTGATATAACTAACACGATTATCAGGTGGAGGGTTCCAGTTGGACACTATTATGCCAACAAAGCTCGGCTTTTTGGAGTGGATGCCAATGGCGACAAGCTTCAATATTCCTTCAACAAGAACTGGTCCGCACACTGGCAGGAATTCCCAAACTATGGTGTCAGCAACGGGATGACGAGCAAAGAGTGGTGGGACGCCTTGGTGAATCGCACGTTTCACGACGCCGGCTACAGAGGCGACCAGGAGACGCTCAAGTCCATAACAGACGCGCTGTACACCAGCTACAAGGACGGGAACGAGGCTGCGCGTGTCTTGCCAAATTCCGGCCGCGTCCTCTCGAACCTCAGAAAGGCCGGCCTGAAGCTCGGCGTCATCTCGAACTACGACGAGCGCATACACTCGCTGCTAGCGACGCTCAATCTCGCTCAGTACTTCAATTTCGTCATCGCCTCGCGGGAAGCCGGCGTCTGCAAGCCGCACTCCTCCATCTTCCGCATGGCGCTGGAGAAGGCTGGGGTCGCACCCCACGAGGCGGCACACATAGGCGACAACCCGTACCTCGACTACCACGCGGCGAAGCGCGCAGGCATGCATGCCTACCTGATCAACCAGTCGATCAAGAGCACGACCGAGGTTCTGCACGACGTAGACAAACGCGACGTCTACTCGGACATCTTGGAAGTTGAGGGGCATCTGCTTAGATACACGCGAGGATTTGATGAAGAGGGCGCCACTAGTCCACCTCTCTCCCATTTTCAGCATCATTGAGGACTGTACTAGTAGGAAAGTGACAATAGAAGGGATCAAGAACAAGATATAGATATCATATGTGAAGTGTGTTCAAGCTGTCACATTGGGTGTATATTAGCTCCAAGAAACGGTATTGCTAGGGTTAGTATGTATAGACAATCCGTCGCACAGCCTGGTCGGGCTAGGTGTATATAGAGTGTGCTCTCCACAAATTGTGGGTTGCCAACCGTCATTTGCCGAGTGAAAGTCTTATCGATCATGTTGTTCCTCATACATTGTTCCTCCGGGGGTTGTATTGGCAAGAATTGTGTTGGCATTTGTTGAAATACGAAAATTGGAATGTCTAAGGCACGTTGCCACTTAGGGGGGATGGGACTTAGGGCCCAGGGGGACCTCTGCCAAGAAAATTTAAAAAAATTGGTGCATTCTGAGAGCATCTGAGCAGTAATTTTGATGTCTAGAATGCAAGATGGAATTCCAAATTTTTAAGCAGAAAATTATCTTTTATGTGTTTTACATTTTTTCCCTTTTTTGGGGTAAAAAAGGGGGGTCCAGACCCCCTGGACCCCCCCCCCCCAACTCCTCTGGATCCGCCCATGACCTGGCATAGGCACAATATAGCATATAGCTTAGTGAACTCAAGTGGTTGTATTTATTGGGATTGGAATGATCAGGGTATATTTCCTGACTAGAATACTGGCTCACTCAGTCATATCATAACGTTGCACAGTGGCTACTCGCCTGCAAACCAGTGAATATATTTTTAGTCCAGGGGTCAGCAAATTCTGGAAAAATGCCAGGTCAGGGAACCATCTACATAGTCTCTTGACTGCTATTCTGGGCTATTACTTGTGGTGTGGAATTTCCAAAAATAGAATGGTCGTTGTATTTTATAAGGAAAGAGAAGAAAGGGGAAATTTAAAGTTAGGGAAAATATAAAGCCAATTGAAAACAAGATCAAACTAGGTACTAGGTGGACACCTTTGCACTGCCTTTGTTGTGTCTGTGCATAGACAATGATTTTAATTTTTGCCATATAATCACCGAGATGAGAAATGTTTCAGCTTACAATACAAGATCTGAAATATTAATTAGAATGGGTGACAACCCATTATATAGTCTCAAATATGCAAGTTGCTAATGTCAAACACTGAAGCACTTACTGATCTTTTTTGATTATACTAGTCACCCCTGCTACAGCGAGTAGCATTTCGTTAATAACTCGTTATATCGTCAGCTGCTCATAAATTGCACAGCTCCTGATATCACCCAATGTTTTTGAAACCATTATTATGTTCGAATGTATGTAAAATCGTTATGAAGATAGCTTTAAAGGTAAATATTTGTGGCAGTTTCTGTTCCCTTATATTTTACCATAGTCATGTCGAATATTTAGTGCAGCCGATAATTAGAATTATTAATTTAACAATAACAGGACTAGGCAAAGTATTTAAATGCTTGATGATAATATTATATTTGACAGTTCATGCATGTGGAATAGAAAATATTCTATACAAATGGCTTGAGACGTATTACTGATGCTGCTGTCATAATATTAAATAACATGAATACATACAAAATATATATAAAATAAATAAAATAATAATACTTAATTTAGTAACCCAACCATAATATAGTGATTTCCATAATTTAGAATCATAGCAAAAACATGCATCCTCAAACAGAAGAGAAAATATTTCTTGTTATATCTTTTAATTTGTCTGCAACTATCACTATTGTAATAAACTCTTTTTCTCTAGTGAGTGACATTGTGTAGGGTAGTTAAAGCTGCACCAGCCTGTGTTACATCAATGCTGCTACACCATGTCATCTGTGTTTGGAAATTCGTTATCTCCCACAATTTTTAATTTATTTCTCCAAGATATATTTTTTTAGTCAGAGTTGAAACTAGACATGGCATCTGCTTCACTCCTTCAGGCACAACCTCAGATGCAACTGTTTGCTCTTCTGCCACCTGAAATAGACAAATCGAAACTGATCGTGAACATATTTGGAGATCTATTTCTGTTTCGTTTCGTACATCACTACCTTTATCGCTCAAGCACAGCAAGTGATAAGATCATTGAACCCAGATGGGGCTATGCAATGGCCTCCCGTAGAGGCCTCCCGTAGAGTCACTCCCGGCCTCCACCACACACATTTTTTGTTATGGCAGCTATTTATGTTTAACAAATCTATTAGTGTTCACAGTATTCACATTTCCCTATATCATTCTCAAGGTAGAGAGGTGCGCAATCACACCTGTTGATTGACCATGGTCAGCATGTCCAGGAGATGCTCTGTCACGTAGCAATGCTGCAGCGTTTGAGTAACGTGGTGTATGAACCACGAGCCTTTCTCCTCTCGTCTCCACGACCGGTATCCTATAGGAAACAGTAGAGCAGTTTTTCGTTACACTGATCATTAGCGCGAAGAGTGTCACATATAGCATTCTTTCTAACGTGACAATACATACGTACACCGGTGTGTTGCTTATCACGCCTCTGTAAAATTCAACAATTGAAATCAATGCAGTCTCTTAAACTCATTAATTTTTCATCTTAATAAAAGTGCAATCAAGGAATTAGTTTATCTGGACGATGCAAGGAGTACAGCCGTCTTTTTACTGGGTTAATCACGCAAATCGCTCACTTGTGCCCTACCTACCCTCTGTTGTAGAGTAAGCAATAAGGACATCTGCATCCACGGGTGTCATGGCAACAGACTGCTGTGCATCTTCCTCCTCTCTGTCATCGCTCTGAATTTCGACGCCACATTGGTTTAGTGGTCCCCTGCAGGCCTGCACTAGCAAAACCTTTGGTTTTCCTGCCAAAGATTGCAAAAGTAGCTTTCCGAACCTTTGTCGGCACATCATGGTACTATAATATCGACTCGTTGTGGCATCAGCTGGGATGCTTCACTAAAACTTTGCGTACATCAGGTGTGTGACCAGCAGCAACTCTGAATGCACAATCACACACGCCAGTTTTTGTTGACTGCGTAAAATGACTGTGTTCGATGGCAACTATAAGAAATCCCTGTAGCTGAAAACTGAAACATGTCCTACACTCTTGTGATTGGAAACAACTGGCTGCAGACACGATATTATTTCTACAATTGCGATCAACAAAGTCTCATTGTTGAATAGTCATTCGTATTACATCAAGTTTCAGGCAGTTGCACTCGATGGCTTGTCACTCGTGATATTCAGACATATTCAGACATATGTGCTCCACTAAAAATTTTGCCTATAACCGAGTCGCAGTTGCTACCAGTCACACACCTAATATATCATAGAGACTTGGAGAGTTCCAATGCCTGTGAGTCTAGTGACTGCCTGGTGATGGCTAGTCGACCCTCACCTGCCATGGTGGACAGCCTGTCAGCTTTGAAGTGGCACACGATGTCCGCAACGGAGACAAAGTGGCCGTCCATGGTCTTGATCCCTGCCTGGGATCCATGGCTCATGATGGCCAGGAAAAAAGACGAGTAGTGGCACAGCTCGTTGTTTCGCATCACTCCCGTGAATAGCAGTTTCTAAGAGAGGCACATTCACACCAGATTTGTAGACGTTATACAACATGCTATCTCTCGGGCTAACATTCCATCTATAATATTACATCATGACCGCCCACTAGACGAAGATGGAAAATCCACTGAACATATAAAAGTATCGAAAACTACAATTCTATGATACTGGTATTGCATAAGACTTGGTCATTAGTATCGGTAGTAAAATCTTAAAATATTTCTTTGTAAATCATTGAGAGCCCACCAGTTAAACCACATCATGTTAAATGTGACATAACCTGGATCGAACCACTCATGAATCTGCCGGGAACATTGTCAACATGACTCAGTCTACTATCCACCAATCTGTGCGTGCAAGCTTAAAGCACGCAGTGCTGGTTGGCTTGTTCCTCGGTTTTTGCTAATTATACCCACTAAGAACCCATCTAACTAGTACGTCCAAGCAGCATTCAAGGATGTTTTAAGTGGCAAGAGATACCACCTACCTTTACGGATTGTTTAAAAAGGGGGCTGGTTTCAGATGGGGGAGGAATGGGGTGGTATATATTATCGTATTTATGGCCAAACCTCTAAGAGTACAGTGCAATATCCGCTCAATCGCCAGAGAGTGGTGTACGCCACCAGTTGGCACTGCTACATTGGCACTACATCAGAGAATCCTCTGGAACTCGAATAGTGTACAAAGTTTCATGATTCCACTCACAAGTGCATAATATGGCCACGTTCATGTGCTCATCCGCATTAGGTATTATAAGTAGTAGGCCTTATTAAGTACCTGTACAGAAATCAGAGCATTCATCAGCTGGTCCCTGGTCACATTCTCCTTAACGACGGCGTCAAAGTTGAGCGTATCGCGGAAAATTGTCAGCAGATTCTCCTGGTCCTTCTGCGTGCCTACCCAACGAAACACATCCTACCATGACACAGTGGTAATAGTAATAGTCCACGGTTTGCTGGGGTGACTAGATCAGGGGCCCGTTGTCAGAGACATAAATTAATAGTAGTTATGACACTTTTGAGTCAAAAATGTCAAAATTTTGTCGTAAAAGTACACCGTAAAATGTCATCACTTTTGGAGTGAAGTGTCGTGCAAAAGTCGTAACATTTTAGATTCATAACGGTCATAACTATTTATTATGTTTCTGACAAAGGATCCCTGGGCTCAAATTTCACTGCTGCATCAACGTTTAGTGCCATGATTGCCCCCTTAATTGTTGTGATGCTCCTGAAATGTCAAAATTTCAAAATCCACGTTAATAAACCACCATGGCAGCCCTACATGATGTGCCTCCATTTGCTTCCAATAAATCTCATGTGGCACATATATCCCTTTTTTTTTACAACATAAAAAGTGTTGTTAACAAGCAGGTGGCCTTGACAAGCCTTCACATTCCCTGAATCAGGACTTAATAACGTACCCCTAACCCCAACCCTCTTTGAAGGAAATGCTTGATGTGGTGTCTCTCCAATTTTCTGTGGTGCCCTAAAATTTCGGATTAAGCCGAAGGCAACATTTGCCCTAGATTCAAGCCATGTCGATGCATCAAAACACAAGAGGCTACCTGCCAAGCTGGCCGAAAAATAGCCAAGGGGTTCAGGAGTTAGGTTCGGTGGAGAGATTCACAAATCAGCAATCATGGCAGACGTTCTAGTCACAGCGTCAGTACACCACGCGTGACTCACCTTTCCTTTTTTGGGTGAAATTGTTAACGATAAGAAGGAAACCCTTTCCACTTGGATAGCAATTAGCATTCGAATTGCGGTTCCTTGCCACCTGCAGATATTGCATCCCCCTTTCTATTGTGGCAGACGTTGTTGCCTGTGTGGAGCATAAATAAGAATTATTTACCTGCATACCACAGTAGCACAGATAAATGACTGTATGTGTGGTGGGTATACATATACAAGTATATATAGGTTTACATTATATTACGTAAACATCTTTAACTTTTTACGTTAACAGTTTTTAAGCACACATATCATTGAAATTTCTATAATGTTGAGAGTCCCTTCAATTTGTTTACTTATATTATACTAAAATAACACAGTAAGTACAGCAGTATTGTTGTAATATGTTTTGGCATGGCGGGGCAGTTTTATTGTGGAAGTGGCGGTAGTACCTGCATGTTGCATCTCAAATCATTCAGCTTTCCACTCGGGGGCTCTGGGTCTCTCGTGGTTGGCTCTGCCTTAGTCAATACCTGCAGCACCTCTGCATCTGATTAAAAATTAAGTAAAGTCATATTTACGAGTTTGCAACATTGCAGAAATACTAGAATGTTTTAAAATCCACTCCGTGATGAGCAAGCTTTGTTAGATAGCTCTTACCAACGCTCATAGGGTCTATGTCCCCAGGGTACTGCCTGGTAACTATCTGATATGGTTAGGGTTAGGGTTAGGGTTAGGGAGTAGGCGTAGGCGACTCCCTATAGCCTCGTTAGTGGAGTAGGCGAGGTACGGTCCGGCATATTAGATAGTACCAGCAGAGCATATAAATCACGTTGATTTATTGAACCGTAAATCACGTTGATTTATATGCTCTGGTACCAGGGTACGTTCCGGTATACTGGACCGTACCGAGGGTACGTTCCGGCAGTACCCTGGGGGACATAGACCCTCTCAGCCTTACCAACAGTGACTGGCAAGTCAATCCACACAAACAGAATAGCTCAAAGTAAAGGTACGTAATGATTTAAACAAATAAAAGCCATCTTTTTTAGCCATTCCGATGCACATATTAGTAGTTACATATAGTAGCACATATAATGGATATTGTTTGTTAGAATTTTTCAATTTTATTCTCGTATAATTAATCTTGACTCATCAATTAACAGCAGCACTGTTGATAAAGATAATCATAATCATCTCCCAGATTAACAATCTCACATAATAAAAGATAAGACTAGAATATTTCCATGAACGCATTCCACAGCACACTTCTGCTTGCCAAACAGCCAGGATATATGTAGGCTAAATATAAACAATGGAGCCCAAATGTGAATCTCTTATTTCTTCTATTAACGATAACAAGAAGAACAAAACTATAAAAAATAAACCATCGAGTTCAAATGCTACCAGAACCTTGTAGATTTGGTTGACTTCATAAAGACAAAAACAAATTCGTGAAGTTTACTACTTGTACATGGACCCTAATTCCTAGTTTCTAGATCTTTCTCATTCGTGTGTGCGCATTAATTGCCGCTGTCGCACATCGTGAGTCATACCTGAGGATATATTTTCGAACTCAGGCCTAGGCTTCTATGTTCGGCTCCTTCTTTCTACATGCTCCCGGTGGAGAAGCGCGGTCATGCAACGTTTATTGGCCCACCTTTCTGTCGCTCTATCCACGGCTCATTGCGTCCTGCCGATAGCAGCACCACCTGGATGTCGGCCTCCGTCTCCTGTACGCAGGCAAGCAGGCCCGGTTTCTCCATGTCGTGCGCTAGGATCCGCTTCAGCACATCGTATTTGTTGATGCCAAGCACGCCAGCTGTTTCCATTGCATCCAGGACCTACGGGAGCAGCACAGCGCGCGAGTAGGGTGAGCAGAACTTTCATTTAACAGTAGACAGTGATATTTCTACGTCAAGAGAAAGGTGATTACTGTCAGATTGTACTGTGACTCACGTAGTTTCTGGTGCCAAGTCATTGTAGAGATGTGGGTAAACTATATAGGTTATTATTTTCATAAATGAACCTGATGAACAAACATGTGTTTAAACATACTTAACATAGTGAAAGTCTTACCTCGAAATAATTAATCCTTCAACAAAAAAATAACCGATAGTTACTATGGTGTTTCACTTGCATGCTGATGCTACATGGGGGTTTTGTAATGTAGTGACTGTAACTTTTTGCAATGGCCAAAGATACCTATATATATATATCTCTTTACGTTGTTGCTATAATAGCCACCAGAAATCCACGGATATCAGTAGGCCTACCATGCACTATATCACTAGCCATCCAGCAGAGAAACATGGTGATTACCACATTTACTAAGTGACTGGCCCTCCTAAATGCCAGGAAGGAGAAAAACTATAAGCCCCTAATGCATAAATCAACTATAAGCAGTGCGTCCACACGTCGTACCTCAAGCAGGGTGTGCATGCGTGACAGTTCACCAGCCCGAAGTCCGTACGCACGCACCTGATTCTTGAATGCATTCACCTCCTTGTCTGTCAGGTCTCTGGTCAACCTGTGAGCAACAAGGAGCAGAGAATGATGACAGGTACATAATACGGGCTATATAATATTACATTCGAATAACATCATTAATACATTATTAATACTATCAGGAGTGTATCAAAATTTTGATACACTCCTGATACTATGAATAGAGTACCGAAGTGATGACGTCACGGTGGCATGACAACGAGCCTGCTGGTTCTACACAATCATATGCTCTGGTAACATTAACTACGTGTCGTGTTTTGTACCCGATTGTAACCATCATTCTGAGAGTCATTATTGCAGTTTTTATAGATTTCCTAAGGATGGAAGTGAAAAGCAACAAAAAAAAATAAAAATAATTAACAACAAAAAAATTTTTAAAAAAAAATTTAATTTTTTTTTTTTAAATTTTTTTGTTGTTAATTTTTTTTTTTTTTTTTTGTTGCTTTTCACTTCCATCCTTTGGAAATCTATAAAAACTGCAATAATGACTCTCAGAATGATGGTTACAATCGGGTACAAAACACGACACGTAGTTAATGTTACCAGAGCATATGATTGTGTATAACCAAGATCGGA